CTGGTGCTGCTATGTGGAGTGCAGGCAGTGTACACAGCGAGAGGAGGTCTACACCTGCAAGGGCTGACCTGAGGCCCAGGGGCCCTGCCATAAGGGATACGGGCTTTGCACACAGTACCAGAAGAGTTCTACACCTGTAGGAGCTGACCCCTGGGCTCTGCCCAGCCCTTCTGCAGGGGTGTAGGCGTTGCACATAGTGCAAGGGGTCTTAACCTGCATAGAGTGAGCCCTGCGGGTCCAGCCTATCCTGCTGTGTGGGGCACTCGTGTCACAACAACACAGAAGGTCTGCAAGGAAGGAGAGGTGCCCCTAGCACACTTGGGCCCTGGTATGTGGACAGCTGGTTGGCTGTCTAACTTCTCAAAGGCCCAGAGGGCGGGGCTGGCCCCTGTCTGGCTTCCTCAACACTTTTGCTTATGCCTTGGGCCTGAGCTTCCTCCCCTTGACCCGAGAGCGTTGCAGTAATGCTTTCCCAGTTGCCTCCATCCCAGACACATCAGTCCCGAGTATAGCCCTTTGAGGGACCAGTGTGTTGACTGGCCCTCCCTGCCTCTTGACGTCTTCTGAGGCTTGGAGGGCAGGTGCACCTTCATAATCACATGGCTGCCATTCTGGCCCAGCAGCCTGATGCCAGCACTGTCTTCAGAAAGTCAAACCACTAGGAGAGAGCAGCCACTCTGACTCCAGGGCCCAGCCTCCGGCTCTCTGACCCTGAGCACTTCTTTGGAGTATCAGTGACTTTTAAATTATTATTATTTAACTAATATAGTAATTATTATTTTCTCTATACCCTTGACTCCCAATCTGTGACTTTTTCCTCTGACCTGCCCCAGGCCCAGCCAAGCCAATCTGGGAGGCCCTGCCTTCCTGTTCCTCTGTACTCTCTTCTCCTGCTTGCTCTAGTTTGAAACCACTAAATCAAGGTCATGCTTGGAAAGAAATAAAGCAATGGAGCCTAGCCATGGCCCTCAGAGCTTCTGGAACCCCACTCCCCCCTTCTTACCTGGGGGCCAGAGACCCTTGGTGTGGTCCCTGCTCTGTACCCTGCAGGTGACCAGGTTGTCGGATATGGATTGTGGAGTCTAGGGTGCTGGAGGCATGGGCCTGGTGGCAGAGGCAGGATTAGCTTTCGAATGTCCATCTCAGAAAGCCACACTTGCTCTGTGTCACCAAGAGAGGTATGGAGGGACAGACACACTTGCTGTCATCAGGTCATGCTGATGTCTTTGCAGGGGAAAGGTGGCTACACTGAGCTGGTGAGTGTGTGTGCATGGGTGTGTGAGTGTGCGAGTGTGTGTACTCTGAGCTGTCATGATGGGCATCCAGCTAGCCTGTGCCCCTCTGCAATATGGTGACTTGTTAGCTCCCAGAAAGCCCAGCCTTAGCTTTGTGTGGGAATCCCGTGGCTCCATAGGCTAGAGTGTGGGCAGGTGGCAGTCGTGGAGGCAGGAACTACTGAGAAAGGAGTGACTCCCTTGGAGCTCCAGGGGTCCAGAATGCCCAGTGTGGGGTGATGGCAGGACTGTGTCTTAAAAGGAAACCTATTTATGTGGATGAGGGCCGCTGGTCCCTATTGGATGTGTAAATAGCAATGTGTATTCTCCTGTGGTTCATGATAGCCCACCAATGACTGCCACGTTTCCAGGATGAGCGTCTGAGTGGCAGTATGCAGCGGCTGGCGGCTGGGGCTGCGTGCAGCCAGCGCTTCTCAGCTGTGTCCAGTCACAGTGTCACCACAGACTGGAGCTTCATCTCTGTAGGGTCTGGGGAAAGGAGCCTACCAGCTCAGAGGAGGAATATTTTTACCAAATACCACATTTAGCTCTATGTCCTCAGTATTCAGAAAAGGATTTTTTAAAACAAGGCGGAATGAGAATGTCTGCCGGCTGGTTTGTTTCTGTATAAATATATACTAGAATGTCTTTCTGGATGAAGCAACTCCCACAGGCCGGAGCCTCTTTGATCTTCTTCTCTTCTATGGGCAGTAGAGTGAGCGGCTGCCCTGCTCCCGCCGGCCACCCAGGGTATGCTGGCTCTGAGGCTCACTGCTGGCCCGCCTGGCAGGGCAATGGACCCACAAGGGAGCGCTGTCTTTGTGTGGAGTCTTGTGCAGCCTGTGATTTCTCTACCTCATCTGTGTGGCGAGTAGGTGTGAACCTGAGTGACTGCAGAGAATGTATTTATTTAACAGCTTTGTGTAACAAAACCAGAAACAAATGGAAACACTAAATAAATGTATTTTAAATTATAGACAACCCAAGTCTGCTGCTTTTGTAGACGTGTTGGGGAACCTGAAAGGATGGGGGGGGGGGATGTGGGGAAAGCCTGCGGTGGTGGGGGAGGAGGAGGGACAGGAAGACCTGGAGATGGGGAGTTGAGGCGCTTCAAGGAAGCCTTCTCTAATCCTGTGGCCTAAGAAGGGACCCTCCTGTCAGAACCTCCACCAGAGTTCCTACCACTCTTCTCCAGCTTGGTTCCCGCAGCCTTTTCTGTGTTCTATGGCAGGGGATCTCCTGCGCTTTGTCTGGGGTGCCGTCAGTAAAGCCCCACCCTCAGCCCTTCTCCCATTCCCCCCCCCCGCTGCTGCAACCTTCCTTGCTTGGGCTCCTAGTGGCTCCTCTGGCGCCTATCCATGTTCTGCTTGCTACCCTGCTCCACGGTTTGCACCCTTAAGCACCAGGGAGGGGCTGCCCTCTGAGGACTGTGGAACATCTACTTGATAAGATGTCCAGATCTATAGCCCTGCATCCAAGAAGACGAAGACCACGCCCATGCGGGACCCTCACTGAGCCTCTCATCACAGACTGAGACCCACCAGTTGTGTTCCCCTTCAGTTCTTCAGGACCCGTAACTGACAAATGGGTTGGAGGTCACGGTTCCTTCCTGGGGCTTGGGGGAACTTCATGGGGCCATTTTTCTGGGTTGGTACTGTGAGCACTGGCTGAATCCCATCTGCACAAAGTTGCTAGACAGGCAGGATCAGTCACTGTGTCAATCTGATCTGTTTGTACCTGGGCGTGTAGACTGTCCACCCCCCCTGGGGAGGTCCTGATCAATCTCTTGGAGTCTTGGCTGCCAGCTATAAAGGTCATATCCTTTGGTATAATGCCCTTTGGGTATTTAGCTATTCTTTCAGGATATATGAACATGACCCTGCGATAAAAAGTATGCTCAGGTCTGTGCGCCCCACAGATGTCTCATGTGTTCAGAGGGGCTGTATCCATAGATCTGTCTGTATGTGTTTTTGCATGTACACATGGCAGCCATGTCCTGTGTCCACATATATCTGTATCTTGTGACTGTACACGGCTGCATCCATAGGTTTGTTCCATCTTACATGTATGTGTGTGGATGTATGTGTGGTACATTGTGTCTGCGTGTACAGTGTGTCTGGGTGCATGTTAGCTTGTGTGCGTATGGGTAAAGAAGGCACAGTGCTGGCTGAAGCTCACCTCCTGGCCCAGGCTTTGCCTATACAGGCTTTGCCTTGCACAGCCATCCACCACCGTGAGGTCTAGACCCACCTCCATCTGCCTTTCTCAGTGGATGGGCTCCCATTGGCCACTGGGGCAGGAAGAAAGACCTCTCCCATTGAGTTACTTCCTCAAGTGGATAAGACACCCTGAATCCTGAAAGGTACTTCCTACTCTTGGTTGGAGAAGAGGTTCCCCAGCAATCCTTACAGGGCAGGGTATCTGACCATGAGCGCTAGCAAGTGAGCACAGACAAGGGTGGGTCCCAGGAGACGGGGATCTTCAATGGTATGGCCCCAGGGTCCTTCGTAGAGACACAGGACATGCAGGTACTAGGGGCCAGCCAGAAACCAACCAGGCAACTCCCTGAGCTAGGACTGGGGCCGGGGCAAGCATCTGGCTCTCCTCCCAGCGGGGCTGGCTGGTGTGGGAGATGGCTGGAGGATTAGGTAAGAAGGCACTTAGGTAATGTCTCAGAAAGGCTTGAGTGTGCAGTAGTGGGAAGGTATTGGGTTGGATCCCGCCTTGCCTGTAAGACTGACTTCAGACACCAAAGATGAAGGTGGAGAGGAGGAGGGACTGAGGGGATGAAATGGAGGAGGGGAGAGAGAAAGGGAAGATATGGGGAGGAGAGAGAGGAGGAGCAGGGGGAAAGGGAGGAATAAGAGGCAGATAAAGGACAGATTTGGAAAAGGGAAAAGAGTAGGTTGGACCCTGGAGTCCATATGACCTGCATAAGTCCTTGGTTACCTGGGATGTGTTGAGCATGAGGACCCCAGGAGGGGTCCTTACTGTCCCCAGTTCCTGGCCCAGGTTGCTCATGGTAAGGCAGCGTGTCAGGGGAGGTTAGGGTGGGAGGTGTTGACAGTAGAAGGCTGTGAGCAGGTTAGGTGGCATCAGGGGTCTAGCCTGTCTGCATATGCACACACACACAAGCCCCGTGCATCTCCCCGAGAATACTGGAGACTGGGTTGACCTGGTCCAACCTGGGAGACCCCTCTATCTGTGGGGCTCTCCATAATCCCTCAGCACACAAGAGAACCACGAAGGGACTTGCTGCTGACTGTGGGACTGGAGATGGGACCTGCAGATGCCCTAGACCCTGGAACTGCTTGGAGACTAGCCACACTGGGGCACTGTTCTGCCCAGTCCTCCATCCACTGCCTGCCAGGGATGGCTGGGCTCTGTTCCTGGAAGGTTGGAGCTGACCCCAACCTGTTGCCCCAGGGAGGTGCTGTCACCCAGCGACAGCAGGTGGAGCTTTAGGCTGATCTTCAGCCCTGGGCAGGGATGGTCTTGTCTCCATTTTCCAAACTCTGCCTCTGGAAGTAGGGTTAAGGGTTACAGGCCCTTCCTGGCAGCTCAGAGTTACGACCTGTGGTCTCAGCACAGCAAGGTATGGCCTGGAAAAGGGCAGTGGTCCTGTCCGCAGCTTTGCTGGCCTGCTCAGGGATGGGAGTGGGGGAGGGGTCCAACAAGTTACCAGGGAAACATGAGCAAACAAACACTTCCTCCCCTCACAGGCCTGCTGGCCTGCTGGGGGGCCTGTGGCAATGACCTCATCTGCCCACCCAACCCTACTCCCAAGGCCAGGCTGAAGGTGGGGGGTCCTGGGCTGTTTGTATTGGGCCCAGATCCATGGAAACGGCTAGGGCTAGGTAGGGGTGCAGGGCTGTTCCTGCTGCCGTCTGTCAGTAGGTGGCAGGAGTAAGAAAAAGAGAGGGGAGGAAAAATGAGAAGGCAGAGAAAAGAGGAGAGGAAGGGAAGCAGAAGGAGAAGAGGGCATTCCAGGGAGGAACAGAGAGAGGGGAGGCAGGGAGGGCAGAGGTCTGCACTGGGGTGTAGAGAGACATTGAGCTTGGCAGGGTGGGGGGCTCAGAGAGGACCCCTGGAAGCATGCCCTGGGGTATAAGAAGAGCCCTGTGGGAGCTGAGGGTAGTTGGGTTGGGGTAAAGCAAGGGTCTAGGCACAGGACCTTGGGGTATGTGACTGGCATAGGATGGCAACTCCCTCACGAGACTCTCCTCCAATTTTTTTTTTTTTTTTGGTTTTTCAAAACAGGGTTTCGTTGTGTAGCCTTAGCTGTCCTAGAACTCTCTCTGTAGACCAGTTTGTCCTCAAACTCAGAGATTCATCTGCCCCTGCCCCTGCCCCTGCCCCTGCCCCTGCCCCTGCCCCTGCCCCTGCCCCTGCCCCTGCCCCTGCCCCTGCCCCTGCCTCTGCCTCTGCCTCCTGAGCTGGGATTAAAGGCATGTGCCATCACTGCCTGACTCCTCCAACTTTATAGACCCAGATCCTCCTTGTGGGAGAAGACAGAGCAGCATGAATGCAGCACTCCATGGAGGACCCACCTTTCCAGGACCAAATCCTCCAAGCTGGGCCACAGTGGGGTCTTCTCTGCTCTCAGAACACACACAGATCTACCATTTTTCTGTCCATCTTAGAGAAGTTGGAGATCTAGGCGCTATGTCCCTGTTTGCTCCTGTTCCACTGGCATGAGGGTAACTGTCATGTTCCTCTTGTTCTTCTCTGGTCGTGGGATGGAGGACCTGATAAGGAAGTCCCTCTCCTCTGGGGCCTTCTGCTCTGGTAAAGGTAAGATCATACACTAGGAAGCCCGATTCTGTCATCTCCAGGACCAGATGCTGTTGTTCGAGGACCCTGTGTGTTTGTGGTTTTTAGTGTCACTAATGATCAGTTCATTCAGGATGCTGCACAGACTGAGCACGCCTCACCTGGAGACCTTGGGACTAAAGGGACTTTCAGAGGTTAGACATGTTTTGGACTAGAGGACATTTCATGGATAGGGTAAACATCCCTACCCGGAAAATCCCAAACCCGGAGATCTGAGGCGCTCCCACGGCCAAAACTTTTGAACATCATACAGTCTTTGGAAAGTTTCAGACCCTAAGATGGCTCAGCGCTTTCCACCAAGCCTGATGATCTGAGTTGAATCCCCAGAACCCACAAGGTGGACAGGGAGAACCAATTTTCCCAAATTGTCCTTTGGCATCTATGCGTGTGCCGTGGCACGTGTGCATGCCGTGTGCATGCCGAAGCACACACAGATAAAGTGAAAAACAACTCGGTCAACTTCTCTTGGCCACCTGCCAGCCTCAGTGGCCACCTGCCCCCTTTCTGACTGAGGGATGACGAGTCTGAAAGTCCCTTCTCTAATGAGCAGACAAAGAGCAGATGCTAAGAGGCCACCCTCGTGCCGAGCACTTCACCCTTCACCCACTTTCTGTCTGGAACAGATCTGGTGGCAGAGTCACGGCAGCTATCTTGAGGTCCTGAGGAGGGAAGCCATACACTGAAGCTGATGTAACAAACGCTACCCTTTATTTCTGTTGCATGTGTGACTAACAACAAATGAACACTGGCTGGGGGTGGGGGTGTGGCTCAGGGACATACCATGTGCTTACATGTACAGGACTATCTCCAGCCCCCAAATAAATGAACAGAGTCTTCCCCCCCCGAGACAGGGTTTCTCTGTGGCTTTGGAGGCTGTCCTGGAACTAGCTCTTGTAGACCAGGCTGGTCTCCATCTCACAGGGAGATCCGCCTGCATCTGCCTCCCGAGTGCTGGGATTAAAGGCGTGCGCCACCAATGCCGGGCTAAATAAACAGATTCTTAAAATTTAAAAAGATTATCTGTTTGAGTAGGCTTTGTTGAGAAAAACAAAAACCACCTTTCTCTATGATGGCTACTTGAAGCTCTGGGCATGAGGCACAGTATGCAGGTTGATGATGCTGGCCTGTAATTCCAGCTACAACAGAGGCAGGAAGATCAAGAGTTCGAGGCTGACATGGACAATTTAGTGAGACCTTGTCTCAAAATAATAAATAAGTAATTTTTAAAGACGAGGGTTGAGATGTAGCTCTGTTGTACAGTGCTTGTCTAGTCCGTGTGAGACTCTGGGTTCAATCCCCCATACCAAGATACCACCAAACCTAGATAATTCAAGGAATAGCCATTTACCCAGACAGCCACACCTATGAAGATAGCTTTTTATAAAACAGAAAACAACATTAATTTTATATTGATGGGTACCATGGGGTGCCATGCGATGCTCTTTTCACCAAGTAGTGGGCAAAGTTGTTTCCTCTACTGTCACTCTCTGGCTTCCACATGGCCATGCATATACACATGCATGAGCACTATCATGCATGTACACTCCTTTATGTCAGAACACACACACATGCCACATACACACATACATGGAAAAAGTAGATCTGGGCTGTAGACAGAAGGCTGGTGTGCAGCGCTGGCCCATCTGAGGTCGGGGAGCTGGGACAGATGGTGACTGTGTCCTTGCCGGATGTCTTCCTAGAGATGGCTGGGCTCAGCAGCTGAACCCCGTGCCCAGGAGACACCCTCACCCACGTCTCACTCTACTCGCTTTCCCTTTGTCTTTTCCCCTCTGTTCCATTTTTCTCTTTTTCCTTTTTAAGATTTATTTTTTTTACGAATGAGTGTTTTGCCTGCATGTATGTATATGTATGTGCCTGTGGAGAGCAGATGAGAGTATCTAGAGTTACAGACAGTTGTGAGCTACTACGTGAATGTTGGGGATTGAACCGGAATCCTCTGTAAGAGTAACAAGTGTTCTTAACCATCGGCAATCTCTCTAGCCCCTTCTTTTTAAAAATGTACTTTAATTTTATGTGCACAGGTGTTTGCGTGCACTGTGTGTGCCTGGTGCTTGAAGAAGCAGAAGGAATCAGATCCCTTGGAACTGGAATTACAGCTGGTTATGAGTTACCATGTAGGTGCTGGGAATCAGCCAGCTGCTCTGCAAGAGCAGCCAGCACTCTTAACCACTGAGACACCTCTCCATCCCTTCTCCCTCTTTTTCATTTGAGTGACAGGCACCCCCAAAAGTGTATTGAGTGCTGCATATCTGTGTACAGATGTGACTGCCCACGTCAGTGTGTGGAGACCAGAGGTCAGCGTCTGGTGTCTTTTTCCATTGCTTCCCAGTGAACCTAGGCTGACTGGCCAGTCAGCAAGAGCTATTGATTTGAGCCATCCTCCCATCCCTTCTTCTTCTCTTTCTCCTTTTCTTTTTTTTAATAGGCCTCTCTTTTTTCTTCTTTCTCTAATTTTCCCTCTTCTTTTGTATTTACTTCTTTTTCTTTGTATTTTTCCTTCTTTTCTCTCCATCCATCCACCATCCATGGATCCATTAAGTACTTATCAAGAACCTTGCATATTTTCCTAGGGCAAACACTGAGATTAAGGATGTCAGTGTTAACACTAAGAACATGCACTTCATGGAGGGAAGTGTGTTCCACAGGAGGAACAGCTGTCCCCAGGCATCTTCACACAAGCCTCCTGGTAACCGAGCCTTACTGACCCTCCTACACTGACACACGGAGAAGAGGTTCTGTGAGCCCAACACATGGAGCCCCTGTCATGGCATGGAAACACACTGAGTCGTGAACATGTCAGAGCAACAGACCGTGGGTCAGCTCAGAACGGCATAGGCCTGGGAAGCTGCTGATAGGGAGAATGGATCCTCGGTATGAACTGCCATATTGGCCAAGCTTGGCAAGCATGAGGTCACCAGAGTGGTGATAGGGTAACTAGTGGGAGAAGGGTGGGTCATAACTCTATCCCAACACAGTGTTTGGCTTCAACAAACTGGGATCCCATGAAAACATCCTTAATTCATTCAAGGGCAGCACGCCAGCCACTTCCCACTGGGATCATCAAGGGCCCACCTCTTAACATCAGGATCCTGAGGAATCAGCTCCTTGGTGGACAAAGCAAAGCAGAACAGAAGATCCTGTCCACTGCAGAGTCCCTCAGGAGGCAACAAGAAAGCAACGACAAGATGCTTCCACTGCTTGTAAACCACATTCAGATGAGTGGTGGCGGCACACACCCTTAGTCCCCAGCACTCAAGAGGCAGAGGTAGGCTAATTTCTGAGTGCAAGGCCAGCCTGGTCTACAGAGTGAGTTCCAGGACAGCCAGGGCTACACAGAGAAACTCTGTCTTGAAAAGCAAAAACAAACACACAAAAATAAACCGCCCCAAGGTAAGTAAGAAAGAGAGGACACAAGTGAGAGGTCATACCTGGAGGAGGGCCATCTGGGGACGTGAGTGCGGAGAGAAGGAGACCACCCTTGCTGCAGAGGAGGCCTGGTGTGGAGACAGTGGGGTTGAGAGGCATGACGAGGATGAGGAAGGGGCTGGCAGGGGACAAGGATCTGTTGTGGGGAGGTATGGTCTGCTGACAACAGTGACAGGGTTTCCTAGCTGAGAGCCCAGCTGTGGTGAGGTTTGGCCCGTGGGCTCCAGCCAGAACGCTGAAGGCTGTGGCCACATGCATAGTGCCGCTGAGGAGCCACTGACTGACCAAGGAGGAGGAGGAGGTGGTGCCAGCTGGCTGTGGGAGCCCATAGCCTTGTGTTAAGAGGGGTTCACCCTAGGGTAAGAGCTAGGGAGGGTCACAGGCTCCTGTTCCTCCCACTGGTGGGGTCCTTTTCTGAAGGCAAGCTCACCCCGAGAGGCACACACCTGCATCTAAGAGGCAGGCTGAGATACGGCCTCCTGGACTCCCCTGGAAGTGTGTAGGAGCACGTTAGACTCCTGTCCACTGATAGCAGTGGGAGCTTCACACTGCTTGCTTGCACAACTGGCCAGAGTGTCCTTCAGACTACACCACCGGCTCAAGGTGAGGACCTTGTGTCTATTAAGCCTGGAACAAGCCCTCTAGCCCTGTACCACCTGCCTCCCATGCAGTTGGGAATGTGGGCTGCTAGGATGCACAGCCTGGGCCTGGCTGAGAGAGAGGCGGGAGTGATGTGGAGGAAGCTGGGCAGATGTCTACAGCTGGTTGCTGAAGGGAGCCCAGCCAGGCCAGGAGTTTGGGTCCCATGAGGAAGTGAAGGCTGGTAGAGTGTGGGCTGAGTGCTACAAGTTTAGTCAGAGGTGTCCTGGGGTATGCTGCTACCTGGAGTTTAGTCAGAGGTGTCCTGGGGTATATGCTGCTGCCTGGAGTCGGGTCCAGGAGCTTCTGGGAATTGGACTAGGAACTTCCCTTCTGTCCTATCTACTCTGCCCTACGCACCCCAAGGGGGGGCGGGACTATGAGGGCTGGTCTGTGGCCGGTAGGAGACCTTGCTTCATGGGGAAGGAACTGTGGTTCTGGTCAGGAACAAGAGCTCTGTGGTTGTCTGGGACTCATTTCTTAAGAGCCCCAAGGTCCTCAGTGACCCAGCATCCACATAGATCTGTATCCCTCTGTGGTGGCTGGGCTCTGGCCAAGGTGACTGGATCCCCACGTGGGGGTAAAGGGAATTGGCAAGGCCAGCCCAGAGATGGTTAGAGCTTCATGAAGGTTCACAGCAAGAGGGGCAGAGTGATGAGCTGTCCCCACCCAGCCCCCAGTTGGCCCCAGTACAGGGCTGTGGGCTGGGTGGCCAGCTCTGGATGTTGGTAGCTGTCATTGATAGCATCTACTGCTGATGACATTTATGGTGCCCTTGGGTACATTTTCTATGCCAAATAACTCAGCAGGGCTCACACATGGAGAGTGAATGTGTGAAACCCAGGAAGGCAGAGGGGGTTGTAAAGGTTTATTGTGGGGCGCCTGGCCACATGGTCCCCATCAGTAACCCACCCATTGCAGCCAAGTATATGACTCCCTGTTTGCTATGCTAGGGACAGTGGGGCAGACGTGGCATCTTCCTGTGTTTTTCTACCAGTTTGTAGTTCAATGCATGCTTTTATGTCAGAGACACAAGAAAGACAGGGGCTGCTGTCCATTCTATTGGCAATAGCTGTGAAAACTGATTCATTCTGAGACCTGTGAGACATGGCCCACCTGGGGTCTGGGTAGACACTGCCTTGCCAAGTGCCGTGAACATGTGACCCTAGAACCTCCAGGCCCAGCTACCTTATCCTCTCCTCTAACAATGAGGATTCTTACTCACCCTGACAGACATTTCTCCTTGTGTCTATCCTTCCATGTGGAAGGTGCCCAAAATGAAAATAGGGCCCCACCCCACCCCACCTAAGCTACCCCTAAGGCATGGGAGAGGTGTAGGCATTTCAGGCTGGATCAGATCGGGACAGGTATCCTGGAGCTCAGGAGTCATACTGAGTGTTACACAGCTCAGGTGGAAAGGTATCCTGGAGCTCGGGAGCCAAGGACCACCACAGGCCACAGGAAGCATAGCAGCTTACAGCCCTGCTTCAGGGAAAGGCTTCTCCAGTGTATCGGCTCTGCCCGCGTCGCAACAGTTCAGCTCTGCTCCTGAGAGTGGAGAGCCGAGTGTAACAACTCCGCTCTGCCAGGGGAAGCTGAAATCTTTCGAGATGGTAGGAGTGAAATTTTAAGGCACCTCCTCAAATGGAGGCTCATGCTTACCCCTTTCTGGTTGCCACAGCCTTGTCTCAGTGTCACAGCAGAGACCTGTGAGTCACAAGACAGACAGAGCCCTTTCTG